GGTATTAGTACAAGTGTAGCATTGTTTGTAGTGGTGTCGGGTACAAGTGTAACATTGTTTTTTTGTATTGTCAGGTACAGGTGTAGCATTGTTTGTAGTGGTCTCAGGTATAATGATGGCGTTATTTGTAGTGATGTCAGGTAGAGTGAAAGAGTTTTTAGTAGGGATGATTACTAGTGTAAATCATGTGAGTCAGCGGGTGACAGAGTCAATGGGCTTCCAGGATGGGATAACTAGCATAAAGTATGTGAGTCAGTGGTTGACAGAGTCACTGGGCTCACAGGATGTGATAACTAGCATAAAGTATGTGAGTCAGTGGTTGACAGAGTCACTGGGCTCACAGGATGGGATAACTAGCATAAATCATGTGAGTCAGTGGTTGACAGAGTCACTGGGCTACAGGATGGGATAACTAGCATAAAGCATGTGAGTCAGTGGTTGACAGAGTCCTTGGAAGAGAACGGAAGAACCTTTTTCTGGCCAACCAAAAGATCCTTTCACATGAACGCTGTCCCACAGATTTGTAGACAAGCAGAAGCCATGGCCCCTGGTCGTCAAGGGGGAAGGGGTGGTCTCAGAGGATTAACCAACTTACAGTTAAAGAGATGGTCCACTGGGGACCAACATGAAACAAACCACTGCATTTTTTAAACAAAGTTTTGAACTGGAGGCAAATGCACACGTTAGGAAAGGTAGGTCAATAAATGTCCATTATCATCTTATCATGTGTGACTCCTAGTGAAGCAGAGACATTTTGCACTTCCACTAAGGTATGTCCTGAGCTGTGAACTGCCCCAGTTCTCAGAGGACCTCTCTGCTCGTCTTTTTCTAGATGTCAAACACACATCTCGTGCAAAGTTATTAGAGACAGTTTGAATCAACGCTTCGTAGTCGGGTATTCTCTCTTGTAGAAACTGTTTGAACCAATGTTTCCCAGTCGGGTATTCTCTCTTGTAGAAACAGTTTGAACCAATGTTTCCCAGTCGGGTATTCTCTCTTGTAGAAACAGTTTGAACCAATGTTTCCCAGTCGGGTATTCTCTCTTGTAGAAACAGTTTGAACCAATGTTTCCCAGTCAGGTATTCTCTCTTGTAGAAAGAGCTTGAACCAATGTTTCCAAGTCTGGTATTCTCCCTTGAAGAGGCAGTTTGAACCAATGTTTCCCAGTCGGGTATTCTCTCTTGTAGAAACAGTTTGAACCAATGTTTCCCAGTCAGGTATTCTCTCTTGTAGAAAGAGCTTGAACCAATGTTTCCCAGTCGGGTATTCTCCCTTGAAGAGACAGTTTGAACCAATGTTTCCCAGTCGGATATTCTCCCTTGAAGAGACAGTTTGAACCAATGTTTCCCAGTCGGGTATTCTCCCTTGAACAATAGTTTCTATTTCACTCCACGATTTCTCATTTCCCTGCTTTTCTTATATACGTCTTGGATATCTTATTCCACACAACTGATTTGTCCCTTCGGCTTGTATCAGTCTGGGCATCACATTGTTCTTCTTAATGATCATCCCAATAAACCAATGTGTGTATACCTTTAATAGGAGATGAACACTGAGGGGTTGGCTCGCTCAACTTAACTTCACTGTCCACGTCAACAGAGCATGTGTCTGATTTCAACTTTAGGATTAGGAGTCTTGATTTTGGAGTTCAGGGCGGCATTATAGTTCATTTTAATTGAATTAAATTTTTTTAATCTATTTTTATTTGGGTTGTAAAATTTAAGAATATAGCACTAAAGCAGAAATTTAGCAGCCTTAATAAGGGGTTCAAGATCAAATCTGCAGTGTAGTCAAGTAAATAAAACATCATAGTTAATATTATTAATGATTGCAAAATAGTACAATATCATTTATACATTTTTCTGGCATAAATACTTCATCTACAGTCAATTTATTGAAAGAATGTGAACATTATTGGCGTGTTGAATACTCTTAAAACCAGAACCAAACAGCCTTTTTTTTTTTTTTCAAATTGCGTCATAATTCCCACTTTGTCTCTTTAGATTTAGAGTAGTTTCCTCTTGGCTGGTTGCCATATTAAAGGAAGAGAAAAATTGTAACCTAGGCTGCTTCATTCTTCAGAAGCCGAAAACATGACAGATAATGTATTTAATTTAAGCAAGTATGGGAAATACCCCGAGGTTTGTTAGGTGCTATGACGAAGGACTCCAAACATTTTTTTTCTAAAAAAGTCTTTATATGAAAGAAAACGAATTGTGTCTCATATTATTATTATCTTTCAATCATTACTTAATTCAAATCTTATATTTTTATTTGACATGACGCGGGGGGGGGGGGGGGGTTATGTAATTTGGATGGGG